AATGCAGAATGAAGACACGAAAGTGATGGCAGGAAAGAAGCTTTCAGAGTGTGGATTCTATGTTCATTATTGTGCTATCTATTGTGTGAAAGATCTCCTTTTCATTTTCATGTGTATGTGTGCATATGTGTGTGGTAAGAGGCACTATCATATTCTTTTTTTTTTTTTTTTGTCTAGATGAAGGAGCCAGGCAAAGGGTTAAGCCACATAATGTGATTTTATACCGCGCATGGTTTGAATCTGAACTGTGCCATCGGCCATTTTCTTTGTTAACATTTAGGTTGCTGGTCTATGGTTGCTGTTGAGAAGTGGTACAATCTGTAGGAGCTGCAGCCTAGTGGAAGGGAGGAAGGCCATGGGAGGTATAGCCTTGAAGTAGTTGGCACCTTGGGCTCTTCTGTCTGTCACTATTAGCCACAACGGTGAGAACAGCTTTGGACCACCACACACTCCCCGACATGATATTTGACCTTAACACAAGCCAAAGCAACAGAACTTGGTGACTATGAATGGAAACCCCTGCAATTGTGAGTCAAAGGAAACCTTTCCCTCTTTTAAGTTATTCACGTCAGGTACCTTGATACTAAGACGGTCGCTTGACACACACTTTTGTACCTGTCAAGTGGGATTTTGAACTCTGACTCTAGCCTGCCTCTGTGACCACATTCACTTTACACTTGCTGTTCTGTTTCCATTGTTAGAGCATGTGCTTTGTGAAGACCCTGTACTTGACAGTTTATATTTTCCAGCAGCATAGCAAATTAGAGATCGTTATTCTCATATTTATAGATGGGAAGAAACACAGCTCAAAGGAATTAAGAAACTTAAGCCCAAAGCAAATGACTCAGAATTGCAATTCAATAGGATTTCTGGACCCTGTTTACTTTCCCTAGAGATGCAGAATCTGGGGCTAAAATCTTTTGTGGGGAGAAATTAAATATTGTTTTATTCTTTGAACATTCCGAACATTTATAACCTTGCATATTGTCCATATCTGTACAACACTACTTCCCTTGTGCCTTCACCCCCCTCCCATCTTGGCTTGCTATCTTCCTTTTCTTTTCCTTTTGTTAATAACCTTCCCTACCCAATTGATGCTACCTGTATGCACATGGGAATCTGGTCATTCACTGAGGCATGGGAAACCTACCAGTGTCTACATCTTCAAAAGAGGGTGGCATTTCCTTCTTTAGCAGCCATTAATTGCCAGAAGCTTCTTCAGTAGAGTGTAGTCTTTACCATCTATGCTATGGTTTGATCTTAGACACGTCTTGTGGAGTTAACCAAAGCTGCTATGAGGTGGTGTGTGGGACAGCCATATTATATCCAGAACTCAGCTTTCCATAGCTCTCCTCTCCACCTTAAAGTCTAAATTCTCCAAGCTCCCTCTACCATGAAGTTCTCTGAGCCTTGGATGGTAAGGGCTTGACAGAGATGGCCCATCCACAGTCGATCATTGGGTTTTCTGTATTCAGCACATTGACCGGTTATGAGTCTCTGCATTAACCACTATCCACTGCAAAAGAAACTTCTATGGCCAAAGCTGAGAGCTACCCACAAATCTACGGGTAGATCTAGTGTTGCTTGGCGGGATAGAAACAAGACTATCTAGTTAGCAGAACTTCAGCACCTGCAATGGCTGGGAGAAGTGAAGGGGCTTGAAATCTCCCTTTCTCTGCAAACTTTGTGATGGAAATTTATATCAGCTAGGCCGGGAAAGGGTAGAAGGGATTTAAGCATCATGTAAAGTACTGAACCTGACACTTTGCCCTGCTTTGGGATTTTATGATGCTGTGTTTTCTTCTCATCTCTCCATGTCATTTTTTTTCCCCCTGGGAGTACTCAGAAGTATGTGCAGATCATATTCTGATGTTTCAATCTGGCCGCAGGGCTTCAGTGGCCATGGTAAATACTCACTTCCTAGGATACTTGTCATGATGCTCTAGGGAGAATGTTGGGTCATCCTAGAAGTCAGTAGCATGAGCCGTAAGTGGCACTGTTACCGAGTACAGAGGAAAATGCAGTGTGAGTCTTCCTGCAGGTGAACAGGTAGATCTGCCTCCAGCAGAGTTCCCCTTGGATGTTCTTTGTAGCAAAAGCATCTGGCTGTCTTGACTTGCCTTCAGAAGGTATTTATCAGATGCCCTGTTTGGAAGGAATGGTTTCCCTCAGGGTCGCCTCGACTTTAATTATTTCCACTGAAACTTACCTACTGACCCAGACATCTTATTGTCGATTTTGGAGTCTGTGTTTCGAGATACCTTCCTTCTGTGGATTCCCAGGTGATAGTTATCAAGATGTCCTAGGGTGTGGCTCTGGGGTGCCCTGTCTTATCTTCTGCAGCCATCTCCTGCTTTGAACTTTATGTTGTAATAAAGGTCCTCACTGTCTCAAGATCAGAGTGTGTGTATTCAGTTTGCATTTTTTTATCCTCCCCGTTACCCCCAACTCCTGTCTTCAATCATTCTTTTATGTATCTCCCAAATGTGCTATTTCTCTTTGATAATATCATGCTGGTAGAGTCCATGGGTGACACATGTCTCTGCATGTCTTGCTGTCTGATTTGGCCTCTTCAACTCACTCTGGCTCAAAGCAAAGGTAAGACAGTTTCTCTTTTTTTCTGCCTCCACCCCCACTTCTATTACATTGGACTTCATGCATTAATTCTGAGCATGAACATGTGTCTCTGGAGCATAGGGGAGGAGGCAGAAGGATGATGAAGTGACTCAAAAACTGAGTGGCATTTCCCATGGTTTCACAAAGTTCACTGTCCAACTTGTAGTCAAGATGTGGAAATGTTCTGTATAGTGTAATGATTGGCTTCTGTCGCACTTGTGGAATTATAGACCAAAGGGGTCTGTTTCAATGGCCTGTGCTACTTTCTGTTTATGTAACTCAAAATGATGGCTTTGACAACCCTATGATATATTGCAGTAGACTTCCAAGTATTTTGATGCAGTAGCCTTGCATGCATCTTGGCAGAATTACAGAGTAGGACCTTTTCTATGTGCTGTATCAGTTTAATAAACACTGGAAAACACACACACACACACACACACACTCACACCTGTGCACACTCACAACATTTAACTTGCTCTCATTTTTAATGATCCAATAATAAAATCTTCACATGTCTGTCAGTTGGGCCTGAATGCCGCAGTCCCATTAGAGTGAGCAGCTGAATTTTCTAAGAGCTGAATTTACCTGTGGCTTTTAGAGGGTGACAGTCAGCTGCAGAGGGGAACACTCACCCATTCTCTGGGGAAATTGCTTTCAGAAGACAGGAGATGTTGTAAGGTGGGAGCCACTGAGGTTGAGTGTAAGAATTTCCAGGCATCGAAAGAAAGACTGAATAATTTCCTATGTTAAAAAAAAACATTGTTGAATATAATAAAAGGGGCTCATCGGCTACTGATGAGATCAGAGGGTTAGGAAACTTTCTCCATGGTAACAGCTATTCATTCATAGCCTTTACAGGAAAAATCCACAGATGTGTTTTGAACAAGTCAAACTTTATTTGGGAGTGTCTAATGAGATTGACTTCAATAACTGATCCCAGCTCTGGATGCTCCCGCTCCTCTCTTCATTCCCCTCTCTTCTTTACTTTGCTTCTTGGACAAAAATGAAGAGATTAAGCTCACCTGGAAGAAATTCAAGGACAGTCTAGGCTGCATACGAATGTCTTTATTTTGTTCTTGCAATTACCTTGTTAAAGAGATTGTTTCTTTAAAAAGACAGAGAGAGAAAGAAATTAAATAAACCCTGTAGAGACATTCTGCACCAGAAGTTTGCATGTGTTTCCCTGTGTTCTCGGATGCTTGCCAACTATCAAGGGTGAGGCTGAGATAGAAAATACCATTCCTTATTTAATGTTTTACACTCCAACCTCCACACTACCTAGTTGCTTCTCTGGTGACCTCGCTGCATTTATGGCTGCTGCTTCTCCTCTGTCATCCAACAAAAAATGCACATGCCTAAAGGAAGCTGTTGGTGGAGAGTTGATACAGTTAAACTGCCCTTAACTCGGGGACAAACCTCTTAAATAATTAAAACTGTATGCTCCAAGAGTCAGATTTGCATTTCTTTAGCAAGTTTATTTAGCACACTTTGTTACACTCAATTAAACAAAAATGTTCCCTTTCATTTTCTTGGCTTTAGGTTGATCACTTTGCCTTTTGGTTCTTATGGCCCTCATGTAATTTCACAGTGCTTAGGTCTCTGAAACTATACATGTATTAATGCACATACAGGTATAAACAGATCCATTCGAAAAATCCTATTTAGATAAGAGAGAATCTTTGTTCAAGGTATCTGGTCATCCTCTCCAACCTAAGGTGTAACCTAGACTACAAGTAATTCCTGGGGGTAAGATGAACTTGACAAAACTCTTCTTCTATGCATCTTTTTTTTTTTTTTATGTTATGTGGCATTCCTTTACCTCCCCAAAACTTGATCAGTAAACTTCATAGCAATAATCTGAAGACATAGATGTTGACTAAGTGTGAAAAGGAAACTGAATGTAAATGCTGTCTCTGCATCTCAGCTGGCTGAGCATGCGCAGGTTGCTCTCTGTAAATTAGCTCTTTGCTTAAGCTATGCATGTTTAAGAAGGAATTAATGAGATATCCGCTTCCTAATGAGTGGCGGGATCCGTGGAAACATGATGAGAGAGAAAGGGCATAATTTTGCTTCCTTCGTTGGGGCTCAATATCCCAGCACTTCAGTATTAATCACTATCAGTTTCTTGGGCTTTTTCTGACTCTTGCCTTTTAATTTTCCTACCAGGTAAGTAATACATTTTGAATTTTCCTAGTGAGACTGTAGATGAAGGATGCTCTCTTCTTCATATCCCCCAGGTGTTCCTTTCTACCTTGGGCTCTTCTGTCCTTGAGTTAGATTGTTTAGGTGTGTGCATGATGACAGTCGATGTGTCTGCGTGATGATTATTACGAGGGTTCTAACATGTTTAACTGTTACGGGATCTGTTATGTCTACTTTAGGGTCGACCCCATCCCATATGACACTCCAAAACCAGCGGGCCACACGCGGTTTGTCTGCATCTCAGACACACACTCCAGAACAGATGGTATCCAGATGCCTTATGGGGACATCCTTCTCCACACAGGCGATTTCACCGAGCTGGGACTGCCCTCAGAGGTTAAGAAGTTTAATGACTGGTTAGGTAAGGAATGATTGCGTTCTGGCGGCCCCAATTAACCTTTCCCGGTCTGAGTGTCACTCACTGCGTCCTAATTGAATTAGAGCACTTGGAAGCCAGCTCAGCCATTTCTTGTATGATATGCTGTGGTGTCTAGCTTTAATCCAATTTTGTTAATTAAAGATGAATTTTTAGATATTTAATTTTACTGTGCATCCTTTCAGTGCCTGGCCTCAGCAGCTCTGGGGCAAAGAGCTCGGAAGCTTTGAAACCAATCTCATCTCCCTCCTCCTCCTTTAATGAGGACATTCATTGGCACACACAAGGCCTAGCATCATGTTTTTAATTCATTGGCTGTAGTCTTTCCAAGGTACCATTAGCAAAGGTATACAAAAGACCTAGAGGTAAGAGAATGCTTCTAAGTAACAGAGAGGACATGAAAGTCCCCCTGGGAAACACAATTCCTCCTTAGCTCTGTACTGCCTAGAAGCAGCTTTCCCCAGGGTCCTGCACAATGGCCAGGACTCCCCCAGACATCAGCTGTCCTGACATAAAACTCATCAGATTTTTCTGAACATGGGGTCAAGGGAGTGGGGAGGAAGAAGGGAGCGTGGCAGGACAGACATGACTACCCAATCAATGGTCTTGTAATTCAGCAAAACACAGTCCTGGGAGGACAGCTATCAGATATCAGCTCTGCAAGGCCATCCTGGTATTATTCACACCTGTTTGGTCTGAGAGCTTAGGGCTGAGGTGCAGCCCAGTGGCAGAGGCAGATGAATGTGCCTACCACACATTCATCTGCAAGCTGCTGAGGTCAGGCCTGACACTGTAAAGAAAATAAAAACTATAAACAAAATAAGAAACAAAATAGGGTAAAATGTTTCTGAAGACACTAAAGAGTTATATAGTACAAGCAAAACATCATTCTTGAAGAATGAAGTCATAAATATTATATGGGCCAATGACAATTACTCAGAAGATTTAGGAAGAAATCTTAAGTTTTGTTTTATTTTATTGTTGTTGTTGTTTTTAATCAAAGTAAAGCAAGGTATGGGAAAGTTTTAAATTATTTATTAGAGATGATAGAAGATGTGCGTTAATTGACAATAGTGTTCATTAAAATGTTTAAGATATGTTAAGAATAAACAATAAGTTTTACTATGAACAATATTGCTTTTTCATGTGTTCATGCATGCATATCAACTTGTACATAATTGTCATCAGAGTACCGGTCTCTGTCATTCTTGGCTACTTTGATTATTATCGGTAAGACTAAACATTTTTGTATAATTTCCATATTTATCCCTTTTAGTGATAACATAACATATTGGCCGTACTTTTATTTGGTAAGACATTTATTTAAAAACAAACATATAAATAGATAGCAGTATGCCATTTGGCAGCAAGAATTGAAATGTGTATTTTCTGATGTTTATGTCTTTTGTTTCTGCTGACTTATTTCTCAGGATAAAAGACTACTTATTAGTTAAAGTCTCAAGCCGGAGCTATACTGTTCTCTTGTTTCTGTTGCTTACTGGCAGGCGACATGCTGTCCAGTGGTAGGTAGGCTTCATTAGTGGTGAATGATGCGCCAGTCTATCAGGATCTTGGCACTGATGCAGGAGCTTTTAAATCTTCTGCCCTTTCAGTAGGTGCTCAGTCTTATTTAAAGCAGACAGATATTTTAGAAGTCATTTAGCAGAGTTATCTCATTTTCATAGATGACAGAGATGCAAAGAAGTTAAGAGATGGTTTTAGTCTCCTTGTGGCAGAGTTGGGTGTAATCAAATTCTTTTTCTCTGCCTTGCCAAACTTCTCTTTCAAGTATTATCTCTTCATTTTAATCAGTCTTTAATGTCAAAGGCAATTGTGTGTGTGTGTGTGTGTGTATGAAGTGTTCAAGAGGTGTTAAATTCACTGAAGGGGATTTACAGGCCTTTAGCCCCTGTTTTAGTCACTTTTTCTCAATGACCGCTTTGCAGCTAAAGTTATTTGGGGGGGGGCGTAAGAACTGAGTCTGCATAGGCATTAAGGAGCTGTACAGAGTATGCTCTGTTTTGTTTTGTTTTCTCCAGGAAGGGCAGAGCTTTGGGGAGGTGTTCTTAGGAACACAGATAGGTTAGATCCTGGTTCTAATCTCGTGCAGCTACTGACCTTGGGTGCCTGAGTTCACCTCTTTTCCCCTTGGTTTCCCTTTGCAGAACTAAGGATTAATACTACCTGTCTTTCTGGATTGCTGTGCAGATTAATCAGTAAATGATTGCTGGTCGTGAGTTTTGTGGGCCATTAATAATGGAATGGGGAATGTGGTGAGTGAACCATCAACAGATATTTAAAGGATGAAAACAAGAAGAGGTCAGAGGAATTATTTAGTAGATTAGAAATAAACACTTGGAGATTTTATAAGGGAAAGCACGCCATAAATGGAAATGTACCGTAACTAAGGAAATAAAATGATAAGGAAATAAAAAGCTAAAGCCTAGCTGTATATCGGGTCCTTTTCTCTCTTGTCCCGTCCTCCCAGCCCCCACCCCATCTAGTGAGGCAGAAGGGAGAGGTCTCAGTAAGGGGTGTAGAACAAGAGACCAATGGGAGCCCTTGGGAAATGGGTAGAGAAGCTGGGTTCCCATAGAGAAGGCTGAGAATAGCTCACGGTTACCAGGGCAACTCAGGGTGCTTAGAGGGTGAGAGATGGTGTGTGATTATTGTACCACTTGGCTCCAGCAGGAACCTCTTCCCTGCAAAGGGCGCTTCCAGCCCTTTCTGCCAGGTAGGAGTCAGGGTCAGACTAGGGCCTTTGCCACAATAGTGCGTTCCAGCAGCTTGGGTCATACAAGTCCTGTCACCTCTGACTGATCTTTGTCTTTCCACTCAGCTGTCCTCTTCTTTGAAAGCACCATTGCCTCCTCTCATGTTCTATTTCTCTAAACTGGGATAATCTGGTTCAGAGATATTTTATAGATAGCTGTCTCCAAGGTCATTTAGTAGGTAAGAAAATTCAAAAGAGCTAGTGAGATGATTTAGCAGGTGAGGCCACCTTATCACCAAGTATGGTGACCTCAGTTCTATTTCTAGGTCCTATGTTATAGAGGGAGAGACCTGACTTCCACAAGTTGTCAACTGGTTTCCACATGTGTGCCCTGGCACATGAATGTACATATATATAAAATAAACAAACAAACAAACAAATAAGAAGGCTCCAGTAGAGCTAACTGGTCTACCCAAGTCTACTCATTGGGTAAATGTGTAGCTATGTGACTACACATAAAAAGTATGACCTAAGATTTGCTCCTGAGCTATGAGCGTGGGAGAACTTCAGCAGCAGCTTCACTTGGAAGTTGAATAGCTGTTTGGCCAGGTGCTAATACTGCACATATTTGAAAGGTGGTTTTCAGTCCTGCTCATCTTCACTCTCATCTTGACCCATCAGCTACAAGGCCTGAGGATCCCTAATGAGCTCCCTGTTGATTTGGAGGTGGCAGGCCCTCATTAGTATGTCCATATGCCACAAGGGAGGTATAATGCAGAAAATTACTAATATGGGATAATGGATGAGATGGGCTACTGCAGTCCACAAGATTGAGCTGAAACTAGTAATAGTCATGGGATAGCATGCTGATGTTATAATGCAGTGGAAGACACCTGCTTTATATTTTCTGATATATATGTATATATGATATATATATATATTTCTGATATATATTTCTGATATATATGAGATATACATATCTCATATATATATTTACTTTAACCTTTTGACTGACTCTTGGGACCCCTTTTTGGTAAAATGGGCAATAATAAAAATATAACTTCATGGTTGTTGTGAGGTGTCCTAGTTAGGGTTTCTACTGTTCTGATGAAACACCACAACTGAAAGCAAGCTGGGGAGGGAAAAGGTGTATTTGGCTTTGACCTCCATGTTATTGTTCATCACTGAAGGAAGCCAGGATAGGAACTCAAACAGGACAGGACCCTGGTAGCAGGAGGTGACGCAGAAGCCATGAAGTGGTGCTGCTTACTGGCTTATTCAGCCTGCTTTCTTATAGAACTGAGGATCACCAGTCCAGGGATACCACTGCCCACAATGGGGTAGGCTCTCCGCCATCAATCATTAATTAAGAAAAATACCAGCGAGATCTTACAGAGGCATTTTCTCAAGAGTGTTCCTCTAGTTTGTATATCCGGTTGACATAACTAGCCAGCACAGGAGAGTATTCTCTGTGATCCAGCGTATACTATCCTGGTGTATGACAGTGTGGTAGTGTTCTCACTTTCTACAGTCCAGAATCACCTGGGAGCCATACTTTTGGGCATGCTTCTATGGGTTATCTTGATTGCATTAATTGATGAGGGACATAGAAAAGGAAAAGAAAACAGTGGGCATCCGTTGCTTGTTGCATTCTGCTTCCTGATTGTAAGTTCAATAGGACTAACAGCTTCAAGCTCCTGCCACCCTCACTTCCCTCTGTGATGGACTGTATCTCTCTTTTGTAAGACAAAAGAAACCCTTTTCCCTTAGTTTGCCTTTGCTAGAGTTATTTTAGTACAACAGTAAGAAACTAAGACAGCTGTCCATAATCACTGCAGAGGAAGGCAGAGGAAGCTACAAGAGTCTAGGTAGGCTTCAAGATGCAGCAAGTCAAAGTGACTGACTCAAGGCAGTAAGAAAGACAGTTTGAAATGAGGCTTCCCTCTCTCCAGAGAAGTCAGACAGGAAGAGCCCTTAGATACCCCTTATTTAATATAAGTAGAACGTGGAGAAACCACATGAATTGTGGATCTCTCTCAGTAAGTGGCCAAATGGCAGGGCAGAGTGCGTGCTCTAACACATCTTCTCCATGAGGAGAAAGCCCCAATTTCACATACCATTCCATGGAATCCTCTAGATAGCTTGTTAGTAATAACCAAGATATCATTAACCAGTTAAGTGCATACAGCTAAGTAGTGACTTAGGTTCTGATTGGAGATCCATCAGACTCCAATGTCCAGTCTGCTGATCACCCCTTCACCCCAATCTGCTG